ACTCTTTACACTTCTTTAAAGGCACGCACACTTCTTAAATCAAGATAAAAGAAAGTAAAACGCCCATAGTGCAATATCACCTGTAGTAGCCATTCATTGACTGGACAAGGTGGAGAGTGTGATGTCACTGCCCTGCTCTCCACCTCATTCAGTCAGAGAATGCTGTGCATTCATTGAGAAAATGCAAATCCATCTCTGAATGGCACCTGTAGCAAGCAGATGAGCTTCTGTGTTCAGAATACGGCAGGGCAGCCACTCCGCATGAAACCTGGAAGCTAGTGGAGATCACTGAAATAGCAGTGCCTTCTACAGTGATTTCCAGCTTCTAGAGGGATCCCACAGGTATGGCACATGCATAGTTACATAGGCCCAAAGCTGGACCAATATAACTATATAAAATCTATACCTGGAATTCCTCTTTAAAATGCTAAATTCAACTTTAAAAAAATAAATAAATGCACATTTTTGCAGGTAAAAAAACACGCATTTATTATTTTTATTCTTAGGCTCCTGTAAAGCATTGTACCCACAATCAGCAGTTACTGAAGTCCAGGAAGATCAATGAACTACGAGAGTGCTCACCAGTGTCCTCACAGTTAATTGAGAACTACAAGCCATCTGCTGCAATGGCTGAGGTAGTTGTAGTTTATAATTCACAGAAATCTGTAAATGAATGACATGGCTGTGTGAGCGAAGCCCATCTCGGCTGCGCTGTTTTCCAATTGTGAAGGCTAGTGTGGGGAGAAGGTCCCCCGCCTGCCATCACAGGGAAGGAGGAGATTGGGGGGGTGAGAAGATGGATGCTGAAAATGTTACATACATATGTTCAGAAACGTGAACTTATCCTTTAACATGAAATGCTTTTGGTACAGATATGGCATTTCCTCTCAGTCAGTTACATTGTGTTCTGTTGGTTCTGTATATTTGAAGGTTACTGTAGGCGGCACCAACTGAACTGCCCTTGAAGTATACTAATACCAATGTACTGAACTATGCAAATGTATAAACATTCATTGTCTGGCCTTGAGTAAGTGATGATTTCCACTGTGTATGTTTTTATCAAATGTGTCATATGAAGTACCGCATGAAAAAAAAATCTTGTGTATAAAAGCTAAAGATTGTTGGATGGGCTCCAGAGAATATTTGACCTGTCATGGAGGGTTATCTCCCAAAAAATGGCTTCATCAGATAGCTAATGTTACTCAGGCTGCTATGAACAGAAGCATTGATGCAGCAATTATTAGGAATACCTTGCTGTGAGAAGCCATAAATCTCTCTTTTGTTAGAATATGGCATTGTCAGCAGGCAGCATCTATCCTCGTTATGTGCGCACATGACAAATGCTGGAGGATGCCTGAGCCACCAGCAAGCACTTCCTAAACTTGGTGATGTATGAAGTCCTCTTAGGATCATTTTACACTTGAATTTTTCTTTCTTATACTGTCCTGATTGTTATCAGAACCATTATTTCCATAGTGCTGAAGTATTCTATAGCAGGGAACAAAGGAAGAGAAAATCATGAGGGGGTCCTCAATCAGCAGGTTGTATAAAAATGTGATGTTATCTGCACACTGGAGGCCAATTTTCATTCTATCTACCAGATGCATTATACACAAGATGCCTTCTAAAATGCAGTTCATTATTTTTACAGTCACTGGTGGCATTGTGTCAGTTTCTTTCAATGACATGTACAACTACTAAAGTGATTAGTAAACAGCTCATAGGCAAGCATGTGTGGTTTGTAATTTTTGTTCAAACATATGACAGGTGTGGGAAGATCAGGATTATAATGACCACAGACTTTCCTTTCACAGGGTAATCCAGGTCGGTCTAAAGTAATTGAAAAGACAGACTAATAAAAAAAATAAACACGCTATACTTACAGTACCTGCCCTGTGCAATGGTTTTGCACAGAACAGCCCTAATCCCCCTCTTTTCGGGTCCCCTGCCGGTACTCCTGTCCCTTCCTTCCTGCTATGTGCCCCCACAGCAAGCAGGCTCGCTCCTGACTTGGTTCTCTATGTATCCATTCACACACAGATGAGGCTTGCCCCCCCCCCCCCCCTTCCCTGCTCTTTACTCATTAGCCCACTGTTTGTAATTGATAGTAGCAGAAGCCAATAGCTCCTGCTACTGTCTCTGCCAATGAGGAGGGAGAGACTCTGAAAACCGAGGTTCTCATGCACATCGCTGGATCATGATGCTGCCAAGGTTGGTTTGGGGGGGGCTGCTGCACACAGAAGGTTTTTTGCCTTCATGCATAGAAAGCATGAAGGTAAAATAACTTTAGCCTTTGCATACACTTGAAAGTTCTAAGCAAACGATACTTTAGATTAGTCCACTAAATTATTTGTTAAATAGATGGCCATTTCATCTCTTCTGCTGTGACTTTTCCTCCAGACACATTTTTCAGGACATATGCTTCCATGGAACAAAAGTTTGCTCTAACTTACTGCAAACCTATTTATTTATTGAGTTACTTATTTTTAGACACCAGTATAAAGGGAAACCATTAAGAATATCCATAGCAAATAGGCACATTTATAAAACAGATTTCAGGCAAGAACAGTTTTGCTATGGGCAGAGCTGGAAAAGATTAGAATCTCTGTGAGGTTTTTATTGAATATTAGAGAGATTTATCATCGGTTCCTCTTTCATCAGCAGAACAGGAAGTAAGAGGATTGTTCTATAATGTGTGTACAGACAATAATGCTTCCACTTTTTTAGTTCAGTTACGAAGGTCTAGAACCTTTTTTGGGTTGTTCTTGCTTTCCAAGTCTTGTGGAGAAGTCTGTCACTTCTGGTTATATGAATGGGCAATAAGCAAATGATTATTTATCCAGTGGGGACATGGATGACAATAAAAGGTCAACAGAGATTCTACTACCAATTCTTCCCTACCCATAAGATAGGAAGAGAAGGTGAGGGGAAAGTTGATAACTAGTACAGAAGAGAGAGATTCCATTTCATGTTTTGTTGTGTTTCTGTAACAAAGCAATGGGAAATTCTCCCAATGGGACACAGAATTTTTTTTAAAAAAAAAAAAAAGGAAACATTAAAGGGTTTAACCATCTCCTACTCTATCCAAAACAGAAAACAAGAGCCAATACATTCATGTGCTTGGTGTTCTTTTAATGCCAATTTTTTGTTCAACTTTGAGCAGTGGGTATCTATGAGATGATGGAAGTGTGGCTAGGAAAAGGTAGAGTTTATTAAATGCAGAAAAAAAGTATAGATTATTAGCTGATTTAAAGAAAAAAAAATTATTAGAGATGTTTGCATTTCTAGGTAAAGGCTGGTATTGAGCAATCCAAACACAAACACCAACCTCAGAATGCACATTTCTGCTAAAGAAGGTCTAAGCAATACTTTACTATAAAAATAATAAAAATTAAGCCAACATTTTAAAAGGACTTTAAAATCCATGTTGTTTGCCCACAGCAAAATCATATTCAAATGAAATAATAAACATTACATTTTGTAATACTTTAGCATTTGTTACCTTGTTAGCAGTAGATATAATACTGCTATTATAAGTGATTTACTTCTTCCTAGGTGAGGTCAGCTTTAGAATGAAAATGGAGCACATTCATTGTATATCACCTATAAAAGGTAAAAGAAACTAAGAGAAAAGTTTAAACATAAAAATAATGGAGGTTTCGCAGAAAGAAATTATCTACTGTATCAGCACTCAATAAGACATTTGTCTTTCCACTGAGCTATGCCAAAATATTGACAATGCAAATGATAAAACTAACAGGCCCAACTAAAATAGTTTTTTGCCTAATGCCATCTGTTAGCATCTCACAGAACATCGAGGCTGGCACCGTAAATCATCCACTCAAATTCATCAGCAGCTTGGCAGGCTATAATACCACTGAAACATTCCAAAGGAGAGATGAATACTGGATCAAATGAAAGGACCTCTTTCCCAAATTCTGCTTCAGCAGCAGTAGGCATCTCATCCAGCAGCACCGGAAGGCTCGGTGAGCTTGGGTCCAGGCCAACATCCTTATCTGTGGATGCACATTCTATTGAGAGCTCTCATATAGCAAATGTTTCAAGAAGATCATTATCCAGGATAACGATGGCAGAAGTACAGGATCCAAGCTACTGCAGCTGACAAAAGAATACCAAAACGACCAAAGTCTGCGGTGTGCCAAGTTCACACAGCTGGAAAGGATCATTTGACGGTTTATGTATTAAAGGGAACCAGTCACAAGAAAAACCCTGAGACCTGGCGTTGTAAGCTTCTTCTTTTACAATTGCTAGCTGCCTGGCTGTCACTGATGATGAGAACAAGTATGCAGACATTTCAACTGTGTTCTGTTTCCTCTTCTGGCTGTCTATGTTCATCACTGGGGTGTAAGGGCTGTACTTGAAGCTTGTAGTATCCTAGGCGTACTAGAATGATGATAACCACTCACTACTTTTCCAACATATTGCAGAAAATGTAAAAGGAGAGTTAAATAAAATTGTGGTATTCTGTCTGTAGCTGAGCTGTTTAACAGAGAGAAGCTATTGAAATTAAAACTCACTTTTTAAGAAAAAATAGTAAATACACACTTTTTTCCAAGGAAAAATGAATTTATAATTTTTTCCTGCAGTAGCCTGGACAGCATTGCACCTCTAATCAGAGGATCAGGGGTGCAATAGTCTGGCTTCTGCAGACAAGCCTTTCAGCTTTTAGCCTGTACCTTCATACTGGCTGTCTGCTGAAAGTTGCAGGGCTTGCAAATGAACTTTGAGAATGCTCATCAGTGCCCTCGCAGCTCAATGAGAACTACAAGCTGTCAGCTGACAATAATTGTAGTCTATCCATGCACAGGAAACTGCTAATTAATGACTTGGCCATGTGGGCGTGTTACATGTTCCAACCTAAATATTGGTTCCAAAAGGTGAACATATCCTGTAAGGCCTTTACCTTTGTGAGCTTGATGCAGAGATCATTGTTCAGTGATTTTTACAATTAGGCCTTGTTCACACCACACATGCAAAAACACTGATGAAAACTGATGTGCAGATTTCACTTGCAGAGACATCAGTTTACATCAGTTTTATGTGTGCTGCAATGAGTTTTATACATGTTGCAGATTCCTGCGCAGAAAAAATCTGGGGCCCCACCGGGCAATAGGGGATCATGGGGCCCCTGTGTCCTTGCCCAAACTCAAAAAAGCCTATAAAAAGGTACCAGGGGCATCTCATGGGGCCCCCTACTGACCCAGGGCAGTGCCCGAATTTCCAAATGGTCAGTCTGCCCCTGGACTGGAGGTTATCCATAAATATGGGCCCTGTCACCAGTCTCAGATTAATTTACCTGAAGACAAGGGGATTCTTCAGTGAGTTGCATCTTTTTTGGTCACCATAATCCAATCACAGTGAAATCATAACAACGAGGAGTGCCCTTCCCAACTATCCCAATATTCAATATTAAAGTGGAACTAAAACCCACAGATTTAACGGTTATCCAAAACATTTACATGTAATGCATGCCATGAATGATAACTGTTACCGTTACTAGTGTTCTTATGTCAGCTCTCAATTGAACTGTCAAGTCATCAAATGGCTGGTGTCATAGTTAACCATGCAGTACATAAAACAGAGACTAAGATGACAGCTTCCTTGGATGTAAAAGTTTAATTCCACTTTAGGATGGGCTCATTAAGCCATTTCCTCTCACAGACACAAGGCCTTCTAGTCTGATACCAACACTTTTGTGCAATGATTCAACTAAGCTAGTATAATTTCACCACAACACATGTAAGTTTCCACCATAATGCAGAATTATTAAAAAGAACTGGTGGTTGAGCATCCAAGGGAGGGAACCAGGAGGAGTAATAGTGAGATAAAGGCCTTCAACTTTGTGAGCTTGATGCAGAGATTGCTTTTGGGCGATTTGTACTATTAAGTGTACCGCCCTGATATTATTCTCATGGCACTGATCTCTAAACAAATCTCCTGCAGTAGCACAATTTGTTTATTTTGTAAGATTAAACTTCCTAACAAAAGACAGGAAAAACTTTCAACACCTACAGCCAGTGCAGATATGTATTATTGTACCTGCAGCCTCCTCTTAAAATGAACTACAGGAATTCAGCCACTTTGGAAAATGTTCTGGGTTACTAGGGGTTAAGTCCAATGATGTGCATGCCGCCTCAGAGGAGTATCTCTTTAATTTACAATTTATATATTTTTGGGAGCGCTGGCATCATAAACATTACTCTACTTCTGGTGTTCCAATGCTGGGCCCTCTGGTGTCAGTTCTAGCAGCTGCAGAGTTGCATGCATCAGCTATACCCACCCCTCCCCCACTGAAGAGCACTTTGTATTATGTACTTATATAGCACCGTCAATTTACTCAGTATTTTACATATATATTGTACATTCACATCAGTCCCTAAGCCTCAAGGGGTGTACAATCTAAGGTCCCTAACTCACATTCATACATACATATACTAGGGCCAGTTTAGACAGGATCCAGTAAACCTACCAGCATGTCTTTGGAGTGTGGGAGAAAACCGAAGTACCCGGAGGAAACCCACACAGGCACAGGGAGAACATGCAAACTCCAAGCAGGTAGTGCCACGGTTGGGATTCAAACAAACGACCCTAGTACTGCCAGGTGGAAGTGCTAACCATTTAGCCACTGTGCTGCCCACAGATTACAAAGGTTTCTGTGAATAAACAATGAAGGGAAGGGGCATTCAAAGATGCTGTGTGTGAGAAGGCAACGCTTGTCCTGTCAGAGCCCCAGAAGTGTAGCGATAGCTTTACTCCCAAATCTCCATAAAACTGTCAGATGTAGATTAAAGAGATAAGTTCATGAAGTGCCATGTACTGCATTGGACTTAACCCATAGTATGCCTGCAGATTTTACAGATTGGCTGAATTCCTGGAGGTCAGCTTTCAGACCCCTTCACATGCCAGTCAACTACAATTAGGATTCAGTCTTGCCCAAAAGTATGACTGGAGGTTACCCCTAAATCTCAGCCCTATCACCAGGCTTAGATTGGCTTACTGAAGACAAGGAGATTCAGAGCATGAGTTATGTCTTTACTTTGTCACCATAATTCAGTCACAGTGGAAGAATAACAAGATGGAGTGCCGTTCCCCAGCTAGCACAATATACAGTATTAAGGTGTGCTCGTTAAGCCATTTCCTCTGGTAGAATCAAGGGCTTCTAGTCTGATACTAACACTATAATGCAACAATCCCACTAAGCTAGTATAATTCCACCCTAACACATTTAAATCCTAATGTTCCGGTATATTGTATTGAAGGCAAAATAAATGGTATCTGTTTCCAGTAAGAGACTTTAAAGGGCAGTTTTAATAACACAAAGTAGAGCTGCCCCTCTGGATATAGCATTTCTAGAGATACTGACAGTGTTTACAAACAGAACGTTCTGGGCTCTGGGTGGAACATCCAAATTAAAAAGTAAATCTGCTGGTAGAGTGGAGTCTGCTGGGTCGCCTGGTGCCAGAAAAAGATAACACAGCCAATTTTGATTTATAGACTTAAACTTGAACATCTTGGGAAATCAAAGAAACATTCGCCTTTTTCTGAGCTCCATCAGGCTGCCCTGGAAAGCCCAGCAATGTACAGAGAAAAATGAATGTACTGGATTACATTACAAAACTAAATGTATTAAAGAAAGAACGAAAGATAGAAACAATATAAAAGGACTAGGTAACTAGAGAGTGGATGTCACTAGGGACTGTGCCAGTTTTTTATGCTGGAAAGTGAGAGCTGAATGTACTTTTTGTGCCTAACTTGGGTGCCAAAAGAGTTTTCTGATCTAGAAAATTTACATTTTTACGCAAAAAAAAGTAGAACGTTTACCAAATGGTTTGTGAAAATCAGTATCCCATATAAATCAATTGTATTTCATCAGTTTAGAGCAGCCAACACAATGCCAGTTTGTTGCTTCAAGTAACTGCACTTTGCCTTGATTAGTCTCCTCTACAGACTAAATATTAGACAAGCCTGCATTCCTTAAGTCTAGGATTTATTGTTTTTTTCAGGGTGCTCTAGAATGGGATCTTTGAGGGCTCGTTACATGTGGAGTTGTGGTAAGGCCCCATAGACTTCATTTGGCAGAGGTAATACCGGCAGAATGTGACATGCTGTTTAATTTTTGGCATGTGCACAGCTCTGAGAGGCTGCATGTCCAGGTTCAAAAGGGTGGCTGGGGGCAGTAAAACCACAACTCAACCACCTGGTTTTATTGCCCCCTAGCCACACATGTGAATGATTAAGCCTTACTGGGGGATGAATAAGAGCTGAATCTCTGCTCTTTTTGACAGCAGAAGACTGGAGGTAACAAAGCATTTAAAGTACTGAATAGTGACCATGTCGATGCATATCATCCCTAACATTATTGTCACAAATCCAGAAGTTACTAGACTTGTCCATGACATTGTTTATATGCATCACCAGGAATAGGTAGTGGGGCCTGCCCCATGAACTGTAGTGTAAACGTCGTCCCTGAAGCCAATAATCAACGTAGGCCATTTCAGGTTGCTTCGTCATTCTGCTCCAGTGGACAGAGAAAACATGGCAGACAGCATGCCTCTTGCAGCTACAGCAACTCCGTCATGACATACACCAAGTAAACAGACACTTTACAAGGAAAAGCTATCACCACCTCCACAGTGTGATCATGTTTTACACAACTGTCTAGCATGAAATCACCCATGTGTGGAAAGCAATGTGAATTTGCCAAGCTCTCCATGTTTGCCATTGGTGTCAGTCTTTAAAATTCTGCTACACTATTGATCCACACAAAGCAGACTAATGAATTCCCTGTTCCCGTGTTCCGTGGTAGAGAATCTACTTTTAGCTGTGTGTTTATGGAGTGATTTTATATACAAATAAAAGCTTTGGTTAAGAAATGGGGATTAACAGCACAGGTGTTCACCTGGATGGTTAATGAGACAAAACCTCAACTTTTTAGATCACTACTTTCTATTTCCCATGAAAATAAAGAGAAATAGAATATTAAAGGTAAAGACACTGAACAATAGTGTGATCTAGAATATGCATTCCTTATCAGTGTAAGATTTGCATCTCCTTGAGTTTTATTTTAGTATATCTTCTTCATGATCCAATTTGACCAGAAATTCTGGCATGGCAACATATTCACTGGAAAGAATAGTGAATCACAAATGTCCCTGCAGGACTCCTAAATTTAAAGACACAGTCGACCTTTCAAGTGCAAATCCTTGAGCCCCTCTACCATTTAATTTTTTTTCTGTGCTGGAATGGATATATTTATAATGTACATGGTGGCTATAGCTGTTTTGGGGGGTATTATGTCCCTGCAGGAAAACTATACATGGATGGTCTACAGGCACATTAAAAACTGTTAGAAATTCTGTATATAGCCCCACAGAACAGACCGTGCACAATCCATGTGTGCTTTTCTACTTCACTGCAACAAAGAAATAGGAAACTTTATTCAGAGAAAAATCAGAGTATACCTTAGATCAGTGGTTCTCAACCTGTGGGTCGCGACCCCTTTGGGGGTCAAACGACCCTTTCACAGGGGTCCCCTGAGACCATCAGAAAACACATATTTCCGATGTGTAAAGAGCAGCTACTCTGTTAAAAGCAGCTACTGTGTTGAAAGCAGCAGTATTGGAGGTAAAACGACACTTCATGAATTATAATTACTGGGTAAATAATTTTATGGTTGGGGGTCACCACAACATGAGGAACTGTATTAAAGGGTCACGGCATTAGGAAGGTTGAGAACCACTGCCTTAGATGCAGCTACAAATAAATACTGCCATCTACTGGTTGAGGAATATATCTCAACTGAATATTGATGTAATAGTGGTACAAAATACAAGAACACTGCATTCCAACACCCTGACTCAACAACTACTCCTTATAGTAGTCCCATTTTGGATTCTCGGTATGGATACAGAGTAACTTTAAAAAAATATACACCCCCTTGAAAGTTTTCATGTGCTATTGTCATAAAACCCTGAATCATAGAGCATTTCATTTTGTGCATTTTTAATAATGATTAACAGTGAAAACATATCTCTGCAAAGTGATTTATTACAGTAAAAAAAAAAAAAAAAAAAAAAACCACAAATTAATGGACTGTACTTAATACGTGTACACACACCTTTACTCCCCCCTTACTGCCAGAGCACACAATTCTTTGGTGTGCAAATGTTAAAAAGAGCTTTTTTGGCCTGAACATTACTTACACCCCCAAAACCTTATATGTTTCTGAAAGCAGAAATCCTGTAAAAAAATGGTGGCAGATATAATTTGTCACACAATATTTGTGCTCCTTTTTATCAAATCAATATTTTCAGAATAAAAACGTGCTCTAATTTAGGTGCACACAAACAAAATACTTACGTTTTCAGTTAAATATAAAAGTGAAGTTGTGTTGAGTAAATCGATACCAAACATGTCAAGACTCAACATTGTATGCACCCATAAAAAAAAAAAATTTTGTACCCAACAGTGTCCATAGGCAATGCTTTAAATCCTTTATAGCTCTTCACTTTACAGTTAACAGTGAATGATGTCCCTTTATTGCATAACCAACACTCACGTTTGTGTTAATATACAGTAGGGTTTTGTGTTAATAAACCTAAATTAAAAAAAGTTTAATTTTTAACTTATTAGTAACATAGCAAAATGGGGTGACAGGTTTTCCTTAGGTAGATAACAAGCGTCTATTAACCATCTAATGTTACCTTTGCATTATGTTAAAGCTAAAGCTTTTTCCTCGGTCATAGAGGCTGGGGTTAGACAGCTATGGACCTTGGAGCACTCAGAGCTGGGCACTTCCAGGTTCATATTACAGAGGGATCCTGAGCAGCAAAGTTATTGGATGGCTGTAAAGCTAATTCACTTCTACAAGAAAGTAATCAGCCTGCACAGAACCAGTAGCAAACTGCTATAGCATACTATGTATGGTGGCAGTAAAGGGTTAATAAGACAAATATACATCGCCAGCATGCCAATTATTTTCAAAAGTGATGTCATTAAATAACGATCACTTGTGTAGTCAAAGGGTCTTACGTGACTGTATCTGGAAAGTCCAACATCTGCTAAATCAGTATCATGGCATAACTTTCATCACTGAAGACAAAAGAACACACCAAGCAACTCAAACACAATTCAGGGGATGGATGGAAGACAATGTCACCTACTGTAATCCCGATTTTAAATTTGCAGATTGTACAATCCTCCAGTAATTTACAGCATCAGGTAAAGCAGTATCATACTGTGTTCTTCAATGAAAATGGAGAAAGTAGAGTTTTTGGATGCCGATGTCCCAGAACAAGCATAGCCATCTCAGGCAATCTGTGTTATAGCTTAGCAATGGGCAATGTTATACACAGTAAAAAAAAAAAAAAAAGCGTAAGATAGAAGAATTGAATGCAACGATCAGAAAACTATAGAGCCATGTCGAGTTTTCCTTCCTTCGGAAGATAATAAATGGTTCTGCTCAGGGGCGGACTGACGACTCATGGGGCCCCCGGGCAATAGGGGATCATGGGGCCCCTGTGTCCTTGCCCAAACTCAAAAAAGCCTATGAAAAAGGTACCAGGGGCATCTCATGGGGCCCCCTACTGACCGCGGGCCCTCAGGCAGTGCCCGAGTTTCCAAATGGTCAGTCCGCCCCTGGTTCTGCTAGTTATTGCACAGGGAGAGATTCCCTCTTGATAACTTCTCCCTTTTCTGTGGAGAAAAGCATACGCAGCCATCATCCCTGCATGAGCTACAACCAACCTTTAACAATTCCTCAAGACCAAGCAATAAGACCAAGCAGATGTTTCACTGTCTCATGTGCCAGTTCACATAATGGGATGGTGATACATCAGAGCATGCACAATCTTATTACACAGTCTAAATCAGGCTCGTCCAATCTACGGCCCATGGGTCACATGAAGCCCAAGACCGCAATGAATGTGACCCAACACAAATTCGTACACTTCCTTAAAAATGTTGAATACAGTCATGGCCTAAAATATTTGCAACCCTGAATTTCTGTCAGATAATGCACCACCTTGCCCAGAAAAATGTCTCAATTACAAATGTTTAGGAATTCTCATGTTCGTTTCTTTTGTTTGCATTGGTATGACACAAAAAAAGTGAGTGGTGAAACAAAAAGTCATGTCTGACACATTCCACATAAAACCACAAAAATCGACTGGACAAAATTATTGGCACCTTCTTAAAATTGTAAGAAATAATTGCATTCCAAGTTTGTGATGCTCCTGTAATTTGTGATTAAACTCACCTTTATCAATTAACAGATCTTATTGTTCTTGTGTCTACTGTACGCAACGTTGTCAAGAGGTTTACAGTCCATTGCACTGTAGCTAATATTTTTGGCCATGGCTGTATATGTATAGACCAAACTGATTTTAGGAGGTACTATATCCCAAATATCTTAATATAAAAGAGCAACAGAAGGAAAAGGGACTTTGAAGGCACTAAAAAAAACTAAAAATAATAAAATTACTTTTGTTTATTCTAAAAAACATTAAAAATAGCACCATAATCAAATGTCACACTTAAAAAAAAACATACAAAACATAAAAGCACCAAGAAAATTGCAATGGACTCCACCTAACTCCCAGGAAATATGCTTTTATCTTTGGCCCTTTAAGGTATTTAGACACACCATTGTATTCTATTTTCTTGATGTTCTGTGTGTTTTTTGTGTGTGACATACCTATACTTATATTTACAGATTATACCACCAAGAGAAATCCTCCTGAGGAAGACTCATGTCAAAGAGTTGAAATATGTTGGGGTTTTATTTTCACAATAGTGATTAATGCATTTTATTGAATGGTGGTTTTTGTATGTTTTGTGGATCAATATTTACTATGCCTTTTTATATGCACAGTGGTTTGTGCTATTTTTAATGTGTGGCCCAAAACAATTCTTATTCCAATGTGGCCCAGGAAGGTCAAAAGTTTGGACACTCATGGTCTAAATTAAAAGTCAATCCTGACTTGACATTCTGTTTACCATCAATGTTCAGAACCAATTGTGGATCTGGCCAAGGACCAGAATATTTTTCCTGTCCCACATGACTACAGCTAGAGTGCATTTCCTGGTATCATTCCAAGTATAAGTAACCAGCAACTGACTGGTATTTTCTAGGGTTTGCTAGATATGGCCACAGGTCTCTCATCCACAGGCGCGGACTGACCCTTTGGCACTGCCCGAGGGCCCAGGGTCAGTAGGGGGCCCCATGAGATGCCCATGGTACCTTTTTCATTTTATCAGTCCGCCCCTGCTCATCCATCACACCATTTCCATAGCTTTGATTAAAAATGAATTGCAAACGAGTTGCATTTTATAGAATACTTTTGTCTTTAATCACAGATATGTTTCAACAAACCAAAGTTGTTTTTTTTTCTCAATTACTTACAGCTAAGCTTAAATACTGCAAATGAGATTGCTCACACAATTAACTCCACAATTATTATTTTCTGGAAGAAACATTACAACAGTGTAGAACATGGATATTTTATGCTCTAAATTTTCTCTAAGACTCTCTGCTCTAAAAAATACAACATAATTCACTGTATGGTTGTGGGGAACAAAATCAATGTTATTAAACTCTTGTAATTACAGGACCAGTAACTGCAACAGAAGCAGCATACTTCCAAACTGAAAGTAAATAATTTGTTAATTCTTGTTCTTAAGGAAATAATAAAACAACTTGTCATAATTAAAGCTATTGCTGGCCGATAAACGTTGGCAATGTTTATGTGAAACCCACAAGGATGGATTAATAAAGTGTTTTAATGAAGCATCTCATTGGAGTGTTGATCTGTGGAGTTTTTCTAAAGACGTATTTAGGAACTGTAAACAAGACGAGCACACACTAAGTGTAGTAGTAGATTTAAAGGCTTTAATGCAAACTCAAATGCAAATTGGCCACTCAGTAAATGAAAATAGAAAAAGCATGTGCTCAACACTCCCGGCATGGGCGCCTCTCTGTGTTCACACTTGTAGTCCTGGATAGCAGTGCCGTCAGGTGGAGGTATAGCTGCAGCTGGAGAGACCAGAGCTCTGTACAGAGAAACACAATGTATTGCAGGGGATCTCCTAGATGATGTTACATACAGGCAAAGCAGTGGGCGTGGGGTTTTACAAAAAAAAAATTTAGTGGCCAGTTTTCATTTGATTTTAACAAACCATTTAAGTCTACTGCATTTCGTGTGCGCTTTTTTTTTGTATTAGGTTTCCCCAATTTTGTGAAGAGCAGCAGCAAAGGCAGTAAAATGTGTTTTATTACTCTTAATGATTTCAATGCCTGGATTAAGGATTTGTGGTTTCACTAATTTATGCACAGAAACTGTATTTTTTTTTTTACAGACCTGATTTATATTTACATTCCACAAGTTCTTTCCCTTATATTTTTATAGTCACAAGTATTTTGAATGCTCTAAAAAATGTTTTGGTTTTTATTTTCTTTTGGAAAAGTGGATCATGCACCTTGGGGAAAGAATGATGCTGTACTACTAAAAGAAAAAAACAAAAAAAAAACAAAAACCAAAATCTTAATAAGGATACATTTACATGCAGGGGAGCACCCAGTTCCTCTTGTTCTTCCAGCCTCCATCAGGTCATTTGCCCTTCTAGTGGAGTGCCATCAAATTGAAAGGCTAAGTGTGTTCTAAACACAATGTTTTGTTGCCCAATGAACACCTAAAATGCTGATAAAAATGCTTTGCTCCATTTACAGTTTCAAGTCAGGCAGCTGAGCATCACTTGTTAAATATGGAAACCACCAACCAATGAGAATGTAGCCTATTTTTAAGTCTATTTTTATTTTAAAAAAAAGATACATACTTGCCAAACCACCTGTCATATTGTTGTCATTTTGGAGAGAAAAAAATGTAATAGACCTTTTTTTTAAACATTTACAGACACCTACAATGGTCACCACCTACAAAAAACACTAAATTCTACAAAAAAACAAACCACTTTACGTTCAACTCAACCTTCATGGCTGATGTGATACCCTAAAAGCAGGGTAGTGAAATAATACGCTTTGTAAATAATAATAGAATTTGATGGAATTTCAGTAGAGATCGCGCTGGAACATCAGATGCTGGAAACTACCTTTATTTAGCTTTAGACTCGGTAACTTGAAGATTACAGCATGGCAGGAAGCACAAGAGAGTCAGGAAATAGTAAAACATAAGAGAACCACACATCTTAACTACTAGTTTTTATATGGCTTTGACACAGGTTTTATGGATAACTGTAAAAACAAACAGAAGGGTGCAAACTCCTAGTGCATCGCCAATGACCTTTATTGCAAAAAGTCCAACAGCAAAAACATATTCACAAATATACCAATAAGACCTAGTACACACGATAAGAATATTAGACGAATGATAATCTATTTTTTATTTGCATGCTAGTCTCATATCGAAAATGAATAGGTTACTAAAAGTTACAAAAGTGAAGAGGTAACTAAAGTCGCGTAAGACAGAATACAACTTCGGAAGTGTTGTGATGTATTGTATTGCATTGTAATATATGGTTTCACTTCTGAGCATGCGCAGTCTTGGTCACTCGATTTTGTTTGTAGAAATACTATACTGATTAAACGAAAATCATTTGTTCTGTTAGCTTACAAGAAAAATGTTCTTGTTTGTCCCTCCAGATATTTTCCCATGAATGGTCATGATGGGCTCTTGAAAGTACTAATGATCAGATTATTGACGATTGAGCATCTTTATATTGGCCCATTTTTTCATTGTGTATACCAGGCTTAAGAAAGCAATGTAACACTGTAGAGTGTCACCAAGCCCAAACCATCAATCGAATTGGCAGGCTTATGTGTTTCAGGGGACGCTCCCCCTTCGTTAGAGCTATACCAGTCTAGGACCCACATCTTCCTTCTTATTCATTTATGTAGAAACAGCCATTTCAACAGACAGGGTTATAAACTTTCACCCAGATGCCTTGTAGGATACATATAGTATAATTATAAAATCAAATGCAAATAAATAAAATTAAAAATAGACTAAGCCAACCTCTCATAGAAATATCTCAAACTAGATATATTAGCAATTTATATGTATACCAACTTAGATTGGTACTGTATATGGATTGCCATAGTAGTCATTCTACCAGCGTAATATACGATGATGAGATATGGGATCCTTAAAGGATAAGTTCACCTTTTGTAACATGTTAAACCCATATTCAGGGTGTAACCTTTTGTAACATGTTAAACCCATATTCAGGGTGTAACATGTTACAAACGGACCGGCCCCCACTCACCATTGTAGCAGCCAGCAGGGGATGTTCTCTTCCCCACTAACTGTCACAATTTAGAAAAACACGGCCGTGTGGGCGGCCTTTGCGAGCGTCAGCTTGTAGTTCTCAATGGACTACCACGGTGCTATGGAACACTGTGGTAGTTCATTGATTCTTCCTGTCAGTATATCTGCTTGCCTGTACATCCCATACTGGCAAGCATACTGTATATACTGACAGATCTGCAGGTGACATGTATGGCACCAGCCATCTGTTGATAGCTGGTGCAATGCTTTAGAGGCTGAAGAAACAAAATATAATAAATTCATTTTTACCTCCAAAAATAAACGTGCATTTTTAATTTTTTTGTAAAAAAGTGAACTTA